AAGAATAAAAAGCTTCCTTTAATTACCAATGGCATGAAAAAGGAATAAAGAGGAAGATCTGTTACCGGAAGATCCGAGAAAAGGAGTAATTAACATGATATCACGCGTGCCGTCCAAAGTCCCAACTACCAACTGAATCCTTTGAATTTCATTACTTTTGTACTTAATTCTACTTCGCAAACCTTAATACGAGTCAACTTCATCGACTTCTTCGACTTTTTGTTCAATAATTTAGCTCATTTATTAGAAAAGTCAGTTTAACTGAAACTACTGTTAATAGAAAAAAAAAAAAACAAATAAGAAAGTAATTGATTTTTCACATGTTGATATTTAACATTGCATTTGAACACATTTAGATTGGAATGTGGCACCGATGGGGTACATGGGTGACTATACCTATTGGGCGTCTGTTGTGACTATATTGATTCAATTCATTTCATTCAAATCAACGTCTTTTTCAGTGAATAAAAAGTAGAAATAATAGATCTAAGCATGCGAAATAGAACATGTTAATTACTGAAATATAAAACATAAAATATTTCGCCCAAGGGACAAGCCGATGGTTCTATCTTTATGCAAGTCGTTTCCAGCGATTTTCAAAGACAGCACGAATAAATATTCGATGCCTTCGTATGTAATTTTCTAAAATGTTCATCAATCTAGACAAAGAGCTTTGAGAACACGTAATTTGATTTTGCGTAAAAGCACAGAGGCTCCCGCGTTTTTCGCGTGCACAGATGTCGCACACATACATATTACACACACGTACGCACATACATAGTACTACACCGATGCTTTTGCCCATGGATTTATTTCGTGCGAACGTATAACTTCCGAAGCTTAAACACGAATGCGATTTATTTCTCGACGAAATAAGCGTTCGATCTTTTTTTTCTTTCTACTTTTGTTCATTTTCTTTGTTGCGTGTCTGTGTTTTTTTTTTAATCTTTTTTTTTACGTCACGAAAATTCGCAATCGAGTCAAATGCTCTCTTTTCTTTTGGTAGAAAGCCGATCTAGCGTTTTCAACATTTCTCATATATTTTTTTTCTTTTTTTCCTTTCAACTTGCGATCGAGTCACCTAGCACTAACGCGGATGTTGCGGTATCGATCGTACGCGTTATATTTTGTCACGGCTTTCTACCCAATTCCCTATTGTTAATTTTATCTCGAGAATTATTTCGAAACAAAAAAATGATATTGCGTATTAAAAATTCTAAATGTATACTATATATGTATGTATAGTAAGATAGAAGAAGCATTTTGTTCGAGCTGTGAATATTTTGAAAGTTTTAATGAGAAAGATAAAAGAAAAAGAGAGTATAAATGTAGGAATAAAAAAAAATATATATATATACATAGAGAGAGATAGAGAATACACGAAAAATAGAAATTAAAAAAAAAAAATGAAAAAAAAAATGAACAAATAAAAAAAGATAGAAGATGCGTGCGAAAGCAAGCAACGATCTCATTAGCTCCTCGTCTATATTTTTTTTTATTAATATACTCGATGTTCGTTCGTTATCTCAACTACGGCACGTAAAACGAGCTACCAATGGCATGCACTCCCGACAGCAATCCCTATATAAAAAACATCTAAAGATATGTAGAAAGTTTACATACAAAGTCGTATCGAGAAAACCACATTCTCATAATCGTTTAGCACAGTAAAACGTTGTGGAAACTCAACTTAATAGAAATAGTTTTCGGGAAAGTGTAATCTCATATCTCGTCTCGACGTTGGGAAATCGAAGTTGGTTTGCTTCCTTCTTCCCCCTTTAAACATCCCTCCAATCTTTTTCTTCTTCTTCTTCTTCTTCTTCTTCTTCTGCTACACTCAATCTCACCACTCTTACAGATTTTCTACCCGTTATATCGTCTAAGGCTGACTCTTCTTTTCTTACCGTCACCGAAGCCAAACTTATGCCACGTAAGCTTATTTTCAAGCTTTATCGTAATCCCAAGCAGCTAGCTTGACGGGATACGCGCTATTTTCTCACTTTTTTTCAAGCCGTTGAATCGGCATCCTTCTCCTCCTCCCCCTACTCCTTATTGGAATATCTAAAAATTTCAAATAAAAAACAAAAAGGTACGTACGATGAAAAAAAAGAAAAGAGATTAAACATTTTTTTGACCACTCGATGATATCGATCTTCTTCGTCCCGTTTTTTCTGTTTTAATACTCTATCAATCGCTTTTCGAAGCTTTTTTCCTATTCTCGTAGAAAAACGAAATTTAATATTTTATTATTTCGTGATACGATCGGGAAGGTACCTATCGATATATATAAATGTCACATTATAATAATAAATTATAATAACTTTCTTTGGAAATTTAAATTTTATATAAAAATAAATAATATAAAACTTTAATATAAAAATAACTTTAATATAACTTTTAATATTTAAAACTAATATAAAAAAAAAATATATAATTTAATATATAATAGATTTTAAATTTGTCTTATTAATGTAATAATGTTATTATAAATAAAATGTATATTGATGAAGATCTAGCGAAGAAGAAAAAAAGAAAACTAATACGATAATTAATAACGAGATATTAATACTGATTATTTATAATGAAAATATAAAAAAAATGTTAAATACGTAAAAGTCACAGAATGGGCATAAGAAGAAGAAAAGACTGAAAACTCACGAAGTCGTTAAACGAAAATCTCGCAGACCAGCGAGCTTTCAAGGAGAGGCAACGTTGCGTGCTGCGGAATAAATTGCTTCGTTCCACCGACGACAACGACGACGAAACGACGACGACGAAGACGACGACAAGGGTGAAGTCAGAAACGTGGAAAAACCTGAGCGGAAATGAGTGTTAGGTATCTCATCACCTCTTCAAAGCTGAAATCGTATTCCGACCTAACGCCAACCGCATTATACAAAACTATACGGAGTAGCTTGGTCGAAAAGCTCAAGCGGAAAAAGAAACTGTGATTTTTGTGAAGCTTGATCGTTTCAAGGAAAGAAAGAAAGAGAGAGAGAGAGAGAGAGAGAGAGAGAAAGAAAGAAATTGTAAGGGGTGCGAGAAGATGGAAAGAGACTCGTTACGTTTTCTAGTCTTGTTGATAACTTCCATCAGGCTACGAGTAGACTGGTGATAAGAGAGAAAAGAAGGCAAAGTTTTTTTTAAAGCATCTCTCTCTCTTTCTCTCTTTCTCTCTTACTCTCACTCTCACTCTTTTACTCACATGAGCACCCGCGCGCGCGATTCGCAATTCCCCCGAGGCTCGTGGCTGTGGGCGAACCGGATAAAAATTCATAGGCAACCTTACGAAGATGTTATCATCTCCTTCGTCGCCCTACCCTTCCTTCTTCTTCACTCTCCTCCTTTACGAAGGAAACGAAGAATGCCATCTATTTGAACCAAGAACGACGTCGGCATCGTCAACGATGCCAACGACATAGCCAACGACGACGACGACGACGACGACGATGACAAAGATGACAAAGATGACGAAGAAAACCATGAGAAATATACTAGCAGACGTATTTAAAACTGTACAAGATTTCTTCCTTTTCAGTTCTCAACTTTTTTCTCAAAGAAAATAAAATTGTCGTCAGTTCGTTGATGAATTGCTATCTTTAGAAATAGACTGCAATTATAGCACTCGTTTCTTGAAACACATTCACGCATATAACTTTCCTTTTCAAGTGCAAAGTAGTTTGATTTGAAATTAGAAGGATTCGGAAGTTTCTCTACGATCTTCTCATTAAGTTCTGATAAAGGATCCTTTCTCCTACTTTCGAGAACGAATTATTCAGATATCTCTCTCTCTCCCTCTTCTTACTTGCCAATTCTATTTCTATTCCTTAACGGAATATCTTCTTCCAAGTATCCTATTACTATTTTGGATACCTTTTCCGATGAAAATGATTCCAAATATTCTGATTAACTCAATCTTATATACTTTTCCTTTAGGCTAATGCTTTCCAAAAGAGATTTCATATCTTATAGAATTAATCTAATTTGTATGAACTATTATTTTTTAAATTTGGAACCATTTAAAACTTGTTATCGTTTAAACTTTCTTTTACAAATTTTAATATAAAAAATGGGAATTACTTTCTTGCAATTAATATCTACAAGTTAATAATATAAGATATTATAAGCGATAACAATTTCTGAAGATTTTTAATGTTACGATACCTCGTAAGTAGAACAAAGATTTCCCTAAGAAGAAAACTGAGAGAAAAATGTGCGTGGCCAAAGGTGATATCGATAATCTGTATTAATATTTGTGATAAGCACGAACGATCGTACATTTGAATCTACCTTGAAATGGAAAGGAATCGAACTGAGAATCATAATTTCATGACAACGACTTTTTTTCCAAGCTCGCGAGCAAGATAAGCAATGGGGGAGAAAAAAGAGGAATGAGGATCAATAACATCGTCGAATCGGATAACGAAAACCGTATTCGCTCGTACCTTGACAGAAGAGGAAAAAAAAAGTAGGAGGAGTAGGAGGAGATGATCCTTAAGAATAATTCCACTCGACACCGAATTCTCATTATCGTCGATTTTAGCCGACCGTTCGAGCATCCGAACGAAGCTCTTATTTTTTCGACACTTATTCAACCTTGCGCGTCTTCTCTCGTCTTATTCTTTGCGAAGAAAAACGCATTCATCGTTATTTCAAAAGATATGAAATCGGTGATAGGAAAAAAGAGAAAATGACTCTCTTCTGTGAGAGATTATTCGGTACCTAACCTTGGAGAAGGTTCAAAATTAGTTCTAAGATTTTCAATAACTACATACCTCTTTTTATTTTTAACGAAAAGACAATTTCTATAGTCGCTATTTTAATAAAGATTTAAAAATAGGAATAACATGAAATAATGTTGGTTAAATAAAAAAATAACGAATTACGTTAAATGTGAAAATTTCATTAAAAATCTTTTAATAGGAAGACTGAATTATCGACCAAAAAGAAATTTGCGAAATAAAATGGTCTTAGGATTGAACCTCTTGGTAGTTACTTACCGAAAAGGCTTTAAGAAAGACGAGGCACTGAATGATACCCTCCATCGTGTCTCCGGTCAAACAGAAGGTGCCGGTAAGGTGTCGACCCTTACGACCGATCACAGAGCAGAGATTGGCCTGTACAAAGGCGTTTTGCGATCGCGTGGCTGCCGTAAGGGATGGATGGTGAGAACCGGCGCTCATTAGTCGTTCCAGCGAGTCCATTTCTCTTATTCCCTTTTTTACTTATCTTCTTTAGGATCACTATGGATCGCGAAAATCACGCGAGTGATCCTTATTTCGTCTTCGACGATTAATCAAATAGATCTATTTTTCTTTTTTTTTTCTTTTTTCTTTTTTATTATTTTAACTGACACTTAATCGAAATACATATATCTTATGTAGAACACAGTTAAATCCTTATAATAATAATAATATATATTTTTCACAAAAAATTCATATTTCACTTATCGCGTAAAGTCAACAAATTTAATCTAGCCATAGCATAAACGTCGTTCAAACATGCAACAGGATCGAACACTATCCTGAATATCAAATTTTACGACACTAAACACGCGTACGTGAGTACGCACACACCCTCCAAGGGATATCATAAAATGTGTTTACGTTCATAGATATCGTTGGATAGACAGAGGGAGATAGATTGAGAGAAGTGAAACTTTCTTGTTGCACTCGATGAGTTTTCTATGATCAATGCGACGGTCTTTATGGTTCTTGGCTAGCAAAACGCAAACGGTCGTAAAGAAAACTGATTCCTTTATTACGCCGGCGGAAAAATATTTTCGACTTTAACGCATTTTACATTCACTTCTTATAGAATTAGTTGATCAAGTCTAATTTTTGATTCAAACAGTGATCAAAGTTCAATAATTCGATGACATGAACATTCTTTTATGAATGAAATTAGAATTTCTTGATAGTAGAGTCGTTGATTCAGAAATTGATGGAATTATAGATCCGAAAGACGAAATATTAATCGAATTAATATCCACAGATAGAATAGATCTCATCAGGATTGAAATCGAATCTTGAATAAATGATGACTGATCCAATCTTCTTCCTTGCGTCATAATCGTAATATGTTGTATCCTATAGAAAGATACAATCCCGTCGGATGAAAGATAAAATCAACACGTTTAATCAGAAGACAAATTTTCAGATTTTCTGGTCTATCGTGGACAGCAGGTTGCAGATGGATTCTGTATTTTTCGTGAAATGGAAAAAATCCTTTGAGGTGGTGGTGGTGCCGCGGGAGATTCGACCGATCGATGAAGATCCGTTTGTTGTGGCGTGGCGTAACGCCTGATCAAGTCACACATCTCGTAACAGAAAAAGAAAATGCCGATAATAAGGAATGTATCCATTCTAACTATGATATTTGTTAATCGGTTTTTCGTCCTCAAATCTTCGAGGAATATTAAATGTGATCACTTATGTTTCCACGTTGAAAAGAAGCCTCGTATCAGATATAAGTCGATTATTTTATTGTTTATCACCAAGTTTTGACCTTTCCTAAGGTATTACATGTAAGAGTTGGACAACACGTTTTGCATTATCTTCATCTACGTTCAATATCTTCTAACATTAGTTTAAATGTCTTCTTCAATTCTATATTTAACAATGACGATATAGTTATTTTTTTGTTGAACTGCCCCAACACAAAGTGAACACGTACACCCACAGAGGAATAAGTCCTCTCACGTAATACTCGCTATCTAGAAATATATCCGTAGAAGCTGATCTTGTACTTCAGGCGCGAGTAAAACTCGCCACTGAAACGTGAAGCATGAAACGGCGACAAGAGGGAGCCACGACGACTGGAGGCAGTAGAGTGGGTCGGGGAACAAAACAGAGACCATGTGAGAGTCTGACGAGATCTAAATGCAGTTTCAGAAGTAACCGCAATATTTCATTTCTTGAGCATTAAGCTTTCACAGGTTATAAAAAATCATCAATAATAGTAGCAGCAGTAGTAGTAGTAGAAGTAGTAGTAGTAGTAGTAGTAGTAGTAGTAGTAGTAGTGGCAGAAAGAAAAAAAGTCAACATTCAATCGATGGATGAATGAATGACGGAATAATATACACTATCGATTTGCTCTCAAACATATATACGAGATTTTATGCTCGAAAAATGTGTTTGCAATGAATAAAATAATATAATAAATAAATGAAATAAAAACTACTAGGGTGATTAACACTAAAGGGATATTAAAAATAATATAACTTGATTTTGTATAATTAATTAACGGAACGTATGATTGTAGGAAAATGATCAGCTTGCGATCGGAACGTCGAGATCGGACGACGAAAGCGGACACGCGGAGCCGTATCGGCGTGCTCGCAACGGGCCGGCGTATGACTAGCAGATACTCTCTCAGTGCTAGGGTACGCCTTTAGAAGGGTGGCCGGGTGGGAAACGAGGGATGCTGGGCGACGGCGCGGCCTGCGGCGCCACCCCCAACCACGTCCCCGATATCCCGATCTCGTCTCTCTTCTCTTCTCTTCAATTCTCTTCTCTTCTCTTCTCTTCTTCCACCATTCCTCTCTTTCTCTCTCTCTCTCTTTCTTCTCTACTCTACCACCACCATTACCACTACCCACTACCACTACCACTACAACTACCACTCCCACTACCACCACCATCACCGTCACCATCACCACCACTAGCATCGCCAGCAACAACGTCACTACTACCACTCCCAAAAGATTTTTATTTGTGATGCTTTTTTCGTTTCTACGATTCTACATCTACATCTGTTTGCTTGCGCGCGTGTAAACCTATCTATCGGTACCTTCTCTTCTTCTACTTCTTTTCTTCCTTCTTACTTTATTTATTTTTTTTTGTTCTTTACTTCTTTCCTTCCTATCAACCTTCTTACTCTATTTCTTCTATCGTTCGGTGCATCCACACTTTATTCTTCTTTGCGGAATTCTTTGACCCGTCGAGCACACGGAATCGTGATGCGCTAACGACTCAAAAGGGAACTACCTCTTTCTTATCCTTTCTTTTCTTTTCTTTTCTTTTCTTTTTTCTTTTCTTTAACTTGTTTTCTCTATATTTTCTTTATTTTTCTTTCTTACTTGTTCTTTACAGATTCAACCGATGATCTATCCAACAGATGCTAACTCGTCTTACGAACATATTGTCACTCGCACATTTCAATCTGTTACATCTTTTGTCATGACAAAATATTATCGAAAAGTTTGCCATAACTTTTTTCGATACTTTCTTATTTCTTGTCTTCCTTTTATTTTTATTCTTTACGATCGAAATCAAGATCATTCAAAACTATTGTAATACCTCCAACATTATACAAATATAATCCATGATGTTTTCTTTAACAACATACATGCATATATATGCTCATAATTATGAAAGTGGTCTAAGTCAAAATTTAAAAAAAAAATGAGTTTATCAGTTATTAAGCACCACATTATTTTAAACTAAATAAATTCAATGTAATTTTTAGGATATTGTCAAAAATGAATCGTTAGATAATGTTTGTTATTTCAATATTATATAGAATTCATACAGTGTTCAAATATAAATCTTTAAATATCTTGAAACAAGAGATACATGGCTTAGACCACTTTCATAATTATGGGCACATATGTATGTATGATTGATAATAATAACAAACAGATTGTCAAAGCTTCGATTATTAATTAATTAATTCTATTATAAGAATACTTTTATCGTGAGCTTCGATATAATCAATAAACACAAATTGAATGTTTCAAACGGATCATACTACCCATAAAATCCATTGCTAGTATCAATATTGATCCTTTTCATCGTAGGGAAGGTACTCTTTGAAAGATAATGATTTACTAATGGCCTTAAGCGGATTAAAGGAGACTCATTAAGAACATTTTGCGATATTATCAAGAAAGATTTTCGACAAGGAAAATTTCTATCTTAGAAATAAATAAAATTAACTATATTCTTTATAACAAGCATAATTCTCATAATCACGTTTGAATTATAAGAAAATGATCTACTTTGAATCGAACGTTTATTTTTATTTTTTTTTCTTCTTTATTTTTACGAACTGCAACAAAACTTTTTCGAAGAAATAACGAGAGTAATTTGTAATCAGAACGATGAGGAAAATGAAATAGAGAGAGAAAAAAATTGATGCTTAACGATTCACTAACAAAGGGACCCGTCAGATTGAGCCCTCTCCGATTTTTTTTCAAACTTTGCACACTTGTAGTAATCCATGAGAATATTCGTTCTATTGTTCTTTTAAAAAAAAAGAAAAAAAAACTAGATTTTAAACCGTTTTTCAAAAAAAAACGGGAGTAAAAATTCCGCAAAAATGATTTCGTGTCTTTGATGTCAATAAATATTTAGTTTGTTAAAAAAAAGAGTACAACGAATATTTGTTGGATTTGCACAAATGTGCAAAGTTTGAACAAAAATTGGAGAAGGGTCAATCTGACGGTCCCCTTGTACGATTGCACAAACATTGCACATTTTTCTTTAAAAACTTTCCTATAGATTTCATAAACTTCATCATCATCTAATGGAAAAAATCAAACAATTAAACGTTTCGCTGTATGCAACGTCAGGTTATACATTTAACACTTAAACGTCCTTTATGGTAAGAAACATTAAAGCTCACACCATCAAAGATGGACCGATGTTTTTTTGCTCATCCACAATGTTACATGTACACACAAACACGCATACAAAGAAGACGACACTGAACACGCGCGCGTACGCACCTCAGATCCTTCAGCCACTGTACGTTACGTTGGAGAAAGCTAATTTCGAAAGTGCATCGTCGAGAAACTGAGAGAGAAAGAGAAAAAGAAGGACTTAGATCGTGGAAAGGAACTTTAACATGACCATTTAATAGCAGTTTCCCAACTTTTCTCTTTCGAGTATCCTAATGACGGAAAGATTTTATGCTGCTCGAAAGGGAGACGATGTGGAAGAAAAGAGAAGAAAATACAGACTTGCTTTCCTTCTACTTTGTTTCCGATACTACCTAAAGAAGAGTTTTCTTCCTTAGTTTCTCAATGTTTCCGTTTTCCACAATTTCGAATCTCTTTTTAAATTGAAACTAACGATTTCTTTTAACTTTATCAACTTTATCATTTATCACATGAAATATTTGTATAAGAATATTATAATATTTATTCTATGTACACATTTTTCTTCAATTAACTTAAATCAAATAGCTAAAAGATTCAAATTGAATCGATAATTAAATAGAAAGAAAAAATAATAGAAATATCGACTATTATCACCAACAAGAATTTCATCGGATAGATATAATTAGCTTTAGTTAATCGCATGTAGGCCGGGGAGGATGTTAGAACCGGTAAGCCGATAATTGGTGCCTGTTCGACTCAGATAAGGTCTCTACACTATCTACTGCAGTCTTACTGTAAGAAACTTCCAGTTAATTACTCCGTATTGTTCGACCATACGATTACACTATACTTTTTCCATTTCAAACCAATAAGCCTTTGGACAAGATGAACGACCTTTCGAATGGTCAACGAAGTTATTATGACATAACGAATGTGACTTAAATCTTCATTGTAGTTTGTCTTCATTTCTTCTATTCATTCTCTTATAATTAATAAGAAAAATTATTTTGTTTAATAATCAAATAGTTATTTATATAAAGGATATTTATGGACAGGGTGGTACAATCAAGCAATTTTTATATTCTTTTTTTTTTACTTCCTTATTAAATAATTTCATTCAAATCATTACAATTCGAACAACGCAATGATTTTGGTTTTATCGTTCGGATAACCTTTACATGTAGGATTCGTACAGTTGATCCAGTACCACAGAAATGCGTGCAGATAATTATGGGGACAAAGGCTTACACCACGGATCAATAGAAAGCCGTGTAGATAAATTAATCGGTCTATACGGTTGAACCATATATCTTCATTGATTCTATCGATATTTAAACAGATTTCGCTTGTTAATGAAAAAATGAGGATGAATAAATATCAGTTATATTATTTAAATGAAATCATATATTTTTTTAAGGGATTTAATGAATAACCTGGAAACAGCATAGATATTAATCAATTTTCTACTACAGTTGTTTTTTTTTTTGGTTTATTATACTTGGTTGCTTGAATTTTTAGTGATATCAAGAAGAAAATAAAAAAAAAGAGGGGAAAAAAGTGGGAGAAATTCAAATATTAGCGCAATCGTTTTTCAATTTCCTATTCAAGCTTTGCAATTTCATCCATACCAAATCTATTATTTTTGCCAAATATAGTGAACTTTTTATAAGTTCATTTAGTTATATATATATACATAAAACACACATGTGTTTACATATGATAAAATAGAGGCTTGCTACCAATAGGCGCATTTTTAATGCTAACGTTTCCAAGTCGACGCAAATATTTACGAGTCTAGTCTACTCGTAAACAATGAAACCCAAGGGATTGCATGGCGTATGAAAAGACTGATCACTTAAAAGATCTCCCCAGGTAGCAGAAAAATATGTCAGTCTCACCGTTGCTACGTTGTATATATATATGTTCGCATATTTCTTTACGTTTTTCTTCAACTTTGTTTCAGATACAATAGTTCACGTACATTCCAAGCTTGCAAGAGATATAGCAATGACGTATTTGAACAAAAGCTTCTCAAAGAGACGTTTCTAAATTGGATATCCTGCAAGATCGACCGTTCCTTGTCGAAAAGAACGAATGCGGATAAAAACAATATGAAAAAATAGCCGTCTAGGGAAATTCCAAATTATTGAATTTGAACTGTAGATTTACGAGTCGAATTTAATTCTAATATTCGAAGGAAAAAATTCGATTGTTTATTAGGTCAAGTTATACCAAAATCTATCAATTTTTGAAAAGAAAATCTATAAAAAAAAAATTTAATTATACAATTATGATAATTACCAAATTATAATACCATTTTAGTCTTATTATGGTTCCTTTTATAATGTTAATTATAACATTGCTCATTAAAATATTAACAAACTTCATAGAAGTTTTTCTTTTTCAATTCAAATCTTTGAATTAAATTAATTCCATTTCATATAATTAAAGGTTGTTAACTATCTGTATAAATCGGCACAATTATCTCTATAATTTAAAAAATTTTTCGATAAATTACGAGAAAAACCGCAAATGATTCTTAATCGACTGCATAATGATATCGTATAGACGATAAAGCGCATTGTGAAGGAAAAGAATGAGCAACCACTTAAATAGAAAAAAGATAGAAAGATATAGATAGAAATAGAAAGAGATAGAGACAAAGAATAGAGGGAAGAATAGAGAGAGGGAAAGAGATAGAAATAGAATCTCATCTAACGGATCTCA